ATGTAGGACACTTATCAACAAAATTGATGGAAACATAATCAAAAACATTCTAAATGAAATCGGCTTGTGATTGGAATATCCACATAAAATGTGATGTTGCGTGATTTTATCTCGTTCTCAAGTGTTTTGTGTTTTATGACCATTGATAATAGCTGTGAACTCTATATTTCGGTCGGTCACTCATTTGACCAAAACAGGATAAAATAATAGGTAATGTTTTGGGGAACAAATGACAACAAAACCGGATATTTAGAATTTCCGCTCATATGTTAATAATAGTCACCAAGGAGTCTGAGGTAGTTTTGTGCTGAAACTCCGTTTAGCAATAGGGATTCAATGTGTAGTTTTATTCATCCGTTTTGTAAAAACTAGGATATTGCCCCGTTGTATGTTTCGCCGCATAACTGATCAGTGAGGGACATTTCTGGTAATCGTACCGATTAAGATATTTGTCGAACATCTTTCTGAACATTGTGGGCAGTACGAATATGATGTATGTAGGATTATCTTTCTATCATTGTTCTGCACGTACATTCCGCTAATCAAACCACTCACCCAAATCACCAAGGGAAACCGAACGATGTAACATGACATCCGATACTAGGGCTTAGTCTGTTTGTTGTGCGAAATTCTACTTTGGAAGAGATCGTTCTCCATCTCTTTTAATTTTACAAATACTTTCATGGTAATTGCTCCGATGAGCTGCTTTCGCTGGTTCCAAGATTTCGCGAATTCAAGCGTCCTACGAGGCTGGCATCCCGCTCTCACCCTTTCACTGTCGAAACTGTTAAATGTAGCCGCCTCTTCTACTCCAACAGCTTCATGTCTCGCACTTCTCGCTTGTGGAACTCCCTTCCCTATTCCAGTTTCCCTGATAGCTATAATCTCCAGCTATTCAAATGTAATGTCAATCGACATCTCCAGTTGCCTTGATCTATCCACTATCCTTCTCCTCATCCTTTCCTCTATCATTCCTATCTGATCTTGCTCCAAATCTTCTGTAACCCCTTGCGTCCTAGTGGCTTCCCGCCTTGCTAGGGGTGAGATGCTTAAAAAAAAATTGATGTTTCTTTTTTATTATTATTCAGAGTAGAAGCGTCTGTTTTGTTTCTCTTTCCCATCAGACTTCCCCATTGATGACATGCTTCATCCAAGTTATTCTCTGCATCCTTCCCTTCATGTTTTTGTTCCCGTCATTCTTCTCTTTATCTTTAAGGTTGTTTTGGTTTTTTGTTTGTTTTTTTTGTTTTGTTTTTTTATTTAGCGGCATATAAATCTCTATGTGTTATTTAATGACAAAATCTAAATTTTTCTACGCTATTTTATGGCATCAACTACAGATATTTTGTACATAATTGTATACTTTCATGGCAAGCATGTATTTTTTTAGATGTATAGTTTGTAGATAAAATGCATTGCTGGTAATTTTACTATAAAATGTACTTTTATACGTTACTACTGTATTGATTGTCATTTTGCTATAAAATGTATTACTAATGATCGTTTTTTAAATAAATATATTACTGGTATTTTTACCATAATGCATTTTTGCACTTAGTGAACCACAAAAGTCAAACACTACTTTTTCATAGCTTGGGCCCTAACGGGTGCTACCACCCGGAGTCGGGGTAGACCTGGAAACAGCAGCAATTAAATGGTGGTTCCATGCTCTTTAAAACTCTCGACCTTGTTGCCAGACGTAGTTTATCGCCATTACCTGTAAGGAAAGTGTCCTGCACAGATGAGGGTTGATATTAAATGGCACTTTAACAACCTTTTCTTTCTTTCTATCGATTTCTTTCTGATTTTAGTGCTTTGCTAATTCTTTAAAAAGCGTCTTTTGCGGTTCCAATATGCATTCGGATTTCGGTACTTACTTCACAAAACTAGTATTCATTGCTACATTAAGATACAGATTCATTTTGTCTTTACTGCAGCAAAGGTAACAATGAAATTGTCAAGATTTCAGTGACTAATGTCGCTCTTAACTCATGGTGGTTCACAGATGGTAAGAATTAATTTCAGCTTGATTAAGAACCTCTCACATCTAACAACTGAGATGGAGCCATTGTTAGAAAAATCCGCAAGATAATTTTGAAATTTGGGAAAAATTTCTCGCTGAGGCTATGGTTTGATTGAAAATAACGTCTAGCGGGGTACTGGAAATTATAATTTCCTACTGTGTAAATGAATAAACGGATATAGATAATAGACACAAGAACAGACTTAGATAGATAGATAGATAGATAGATAGATAGATAGATAACTATATTAATGATAATATAAGCTGTTTGACCATATGGAAACATTAGGTATTCATTGACCGAACAGAGAGAGCTATCAAAATAGATAGATAGATAGATAGATAGATAGATAGATAGATAGATAGATAATCAACACATTGAGATAGATAAATACATATATGCATAATGAACTAACCGACATAGATAGATAGATAGATAGATAGATAGAGATAGATAGATAGATAATGAACATATATATATATATATATATATATATATATATATATATATATATATATATATATATATAATAAACAGACTGACATAGATAAATACATACATACATAATGAACAGACTGGCATAGATAGATAGATAGATAGATAGATAATGAAAATGCATATATATATATATATATATATATATATATATATATAATAAACAGACTGACATAGATAAATACATGCATACATAATGAACAGACTGGCATAGATAGATAGATAGATAGATAGATAGATAGATAGATAGATAGATAGATAGATAGATAGATAACAATATTAATGATAATATAAGCTGTTTGCCATTATGGAAACATTAGGTATTCATTGACCGAACAGTCAGTGCTATGAAAATAGCTAGATAGATAATCAACACATTGAGATAGATAGATAGATACATATATACATAATGAACTAACCAACATAGATAGATAGATAGATAGATAGATAGATAGATAGATAGTGATTACTGAAAATGCATTTCGGATTGATGAGATAAACAGGTGTAGGTATTTAGTGTTTATTATGTCTTATTATGTCAACTGTATCTGTACTTTTCGTTTGATAGATTTGTATGGGCGGAGGGTGAGGTTGTTTCATTACTGAACGTTTCTCTTATATCATCTGAAGATATCTATCTGAGATTTCAACACGATTTTAAAGAGAGTTTGGTTTGCGCATGAGAAACCACTGATGTCCACCTATGGGCTTTGTGCTCGTAATGTGTTACACTTTTCGTCAACGAGGACTTCTGGTTTCCTTCACTTGATTTGATTCGCGGCAAATATTTTTCCGCTCTCTCAAACATGCACTCGTTTCTGTCAAGATGCTTGAGATGAGTGGTGTATTTGCTTTCCCTGAAGAACGACCAGTTCACTCAAACGCGATGCTTGTTATGCAATTCTGCGGTAAAAGATATGAGATTTAGGGATGTTTACATGTCACATGACCAATATGGAGGTTGTAGGCCATTTAAGTTCAGATAGGTTAGCTTATCGCATTTTAGCTTGTAGGTTTAGTTAAATTCAATTATGTTTGTTTCTTATTATACTTGCGTCCGCAAGCAAAAAGTTGGTCGGGTTTATAGTTGAATCTACGCACAAATATTGTCACGTTTATACTTAAGTCTATATGCTAATATTACTCGAGTCTATACAGAAATATTGTCACGTTTATACTTAAGACTGATGCAAATATTGCTAGAGCTTATATTTGAATCTATACGCAAATATTGTCACTTTTATACTTAAGTCTCTATGCTAATATTACTCGAGTCTATAAAGAAATATTGTCACGTTTTATACTTAAGACTGATGCAAATATTGCTAGAGCTTATATTTGAATCTATACGCAAATATTGTCACTTTTATACTTAAGTCTCTATGCTAATATTACTCGAGTCTATAAAGAAATATTGTCACGTTTATACTTAAGACTGATGCAAATATTGCTAGAGCTTATATTTGAATCTATACGCAAATATTGTCACTTTTATACTTAAGTCTCTATGCTAATATTACTCGAGTCTATAAAGAAATATTGTCACGTTTATACTTAAGACTGATGCAAATATTGCTAGAGCTTATATTTGAATCTATACGCAAATATTGTCACTTTTATACTTAAGTCTCTATGCTAATATTACTCGAGTCTATAAAGAAATATTGCCACGTTTATACTTAAGAATGATGCAAATATTGCTAGAGCTTATATTTGAATCTATACGCAAATATTGTCACTTTTATACTTAAGTCTCTATGCTAATATTACTCGAGTCTATAAAGAAATATTGCCACGTTTATACTTAAGACTGATGCAAATATTGCTAGAGCTTATATTTGAATCTATACGCAAATATTGTCACTTTTATACTTAAGTCTCTATGCTAATATTACTCGAGTCTATAAAGAAATATTGTCACGTTTATACTTAAGAATGATGCAAATATTGCTAGAGCTTATATTTGAATCTATACGCAAATATTGTCACTTTTATACTTATGTCTCTATGCTAATATTACTCGAGTTTATACTTGAATCTATACAGAAATATTGTCACGTTTATACTTAAGACTGATGCAAATATTGCTATAGCTTATACTTGAATATATACACAAATATGGTCACGTTTATATTTGGGTCTCTATGCAAATGATGGTCGTGTTTATACATGTATATATATATTTCTTTTCTGGCATCAAACAGACTATCGCCGCTTGGTGTCAACGTTTATATTTACATACGTTCTATCGCTGATATCCCTTACTTGCAACCATAATATAGCATACCTATATTATTATCACACACACACACACACACACACACACACACACACACACACACACACACACACACACACACACATATATATATATATATATATATATATATATGGATTTATCTATAAAGAATGCATTTATTTGTAATCCAACAATTTTATTAATTCATAGGATATTTTAGTGGATACCCATCCTTAAAATTGACGCCCTTTTTTATATTAAATACAGTAAATAATCTCTATCGCCCTGCACACTCGAGAAAAGCATTTAACTTTGAAGCAATATAATTTGGATTTATATAATATATAAATTATATTCACACATACCACAGACATACACATACTTATATAGAAGGTTATCTTTTTTTAAATTTAATTAATTAATATTTGCTCTGTTGCTATATTGAGCACTCAGGATTACATCCTCTTTGGAATTATCCATAAGGATTAACAAACTCTCTATTACCTTTTTTTATATATATATATATATATATATATATATATATATATTATAAATTTACTTATTTAAAAATATGTTTCCATCGCTACATAGGAATTACCATGTTTCAAAAATAGAAGATAAAAATTTCAAATTCACTTATAGAATAAAATTAAAGTCCCTAGTTCTGTTTCATTTTCAAGCGAATTTTGGAATAACTTATTTTGAAATTTACTGAGTGTTATTAGCACATACCTTCATAATATTAGTTTCTATGGATATGGAGAAATACAATCATTTTAACAAGGGGTGGTAGGGTATTCTTTTTCACTGACAACTATTGTATCAACTTTCAAAAAGAGGGTAAATCAAGTTATAGTTGGGGTACCTTTTGCAAACGAATGATGACATCCGTTCAATGCATGTCGTCTGGTCTTTTTCAACGACAAAGCGTTTTTCGGCCATTTTGTTTCACCGTTAAATTTGTACTTGCATACATAAAGTTTTTTTTTTTCTAAAATGGTTGTTTGTATATGAGTACGTCGTGTTGAAGTACAATTTTAAAATATAATTAATCTTTTAAAACAAATAAATATAATAGAATTACTTAAATTATTTAAAAATTATTATCAAATCACAAATATAATTATGTATATTTCATTTATCAACTTTTTTTTTATTAAACATTACTTAAAGAACATTTGTCGGCAAAGAATAGCTATTTCATTCCTTCGATTAAGTAAATTTTTACTTTTTATAAACCTAGTAATATGTAGTTTCTCATGTATGCACAAAGGACATGGGTCATTTAATGATATACATATTCTAGCTTTTCTTATTAATTTACATTTCACAATAGGTGTTTTATTTATTTCTTTTAACTGCCAGAGGTATTTCGATAGAGACGTCTGATTTCGGTATTTATTTATCCTAAAAGAAAGTTGAACCATTTTTTGACCTCATGTCTTGTGCATCCAATGTAGACTTTTACGTTGTCTGGATCCTCAGTAGATGAGATATTGCATTGGTATACTAATGATTCAGTGCAACATTTATAACAATGGTTATAAAGAACTCTACGAACTTTAAAATCGATAAAATTAGAAAGATATTATATAGAGAATTTAAATGCCTGAACTTAAAAATTATTGTAACCACTAAATTGAAAAAAGTGAACTTCCTTCATGTAATATTAGATTTAATGAAACATGTACACATACCTTATAAAAAAAACTATACTAATCCTTTGTAAAGGGTGAACCTCGCTGTAAAAGAAAAAAAAAACAACTGCCCAATAATGGTGATAGTAATATTATACGTTTTACCTATAAAGAAATATTTGGGATTAATTAACAGAGGAGAAAGTATTTCTTGCGACTGAAATTAATAAAATCTTTCTTTTGAAACATTTTTTCAGGAAAATGCCTTTCTTAATTCCAATCTCTGTAATCTTTTTTTTTTCTAATATTCATTGGTGAGGTGTCCTCTGTAACCTTTTATCTGAAGCAGTGTGGTATTTCTCTAGTTTCTTTATTTCATTATTTTCTCTTCGAATTATATGTATGCTATCCATTTTAGTCATTGCCGCTGTTGGTAGTCCCCAATGGCAATGGTAATATTAGCCATTTCCTTATAAGGATGCATTCGACATTCATTGACCGAGCAGCCAATGTTGCTGTCGGCCGAAAATTTCTCTTAAAATAATTTTTTTAAGGAAAATAGTTTTCTCAAGAGCAGTAATTTGTTGTCGCTCTTTCCATTATTGATGGGGGAGGGGTTCCTTTTTTCAAATATAGTGTGGAAGGTCAACGTCATTGTTTTCTCTTCAAGTTACACATGCTATCCATTTTAGTTGCTAGTAGTCCTCAAGTGAAGAGATTTCTGTCATCTGGTACAGTCCTTTGTTTGCGATTTTGTAGAGCCAGTCCACTAGGTTCAAAGAATGATTATCTTTGTTCAAGGCCCGAAGATTTCACTCGCTCAAAGCCATTTTAACCACTGACCTTAGAAAGCGGCCGTATTGAGTTCAGATATGCCTGAACGAGTTTGGTGCCATGCATAGCATCATTATGAAAATCTCAATCTGACGATGTTATTTTAAGTACATGACTTCAGCTGTTTTAGGTTTTGTAGCAATTTGCGGTATTGTGTGAAACTACATCCTATTCTATGTTCAATTTCCTTTTCTCCTGTACAAAATTTGTTATAAGCTGTAATATAATCGGTACATTTTATTTAACAAATACGTCAAATTTTCACTCGCTTTAATTTTACTTACAACAAAACAGTATATGCCGGTCAATGCGTTCTTTTATCGCCATTTCCACTTGAGCTTCTCTCTCCCAAATTATAGTTTCCACTTACATTATTGTAGCTTACTCTCTACTAATTTACTTCTCTATTTAGATGCTGCAAATCGCATACGCGGCATGGTGGAGTAATGGATAGCGGCTCCGATTGAGGAATCGGAATGCCGAGTTCGAATTTCGGTCACACCTGTTACATTCACTTATGTACCAATACCCTTGGGAAATATATGAATTTTCTTCTTCTTCCATCAGCTACACGTTCTATCCATTTAAATTTTGTTTAGTCCTCTATTGATGTGTTTTCTGTTATCTCGTACAGTTCTTTGTTTGCGATTCTGTAGCGCCAGTCCACTAGGTTAAAAGATGGATTATCTTTGTCCAAGACACTCAGAGTTCATTCGCTCAAAAGCCTTTGATCGTAGAATGCGTCCGGATACAATCTCTATCTATAAAAGGCAGGTGTCTCTGTGTGGGTGTGCGTAATGAATGCGCAGCCGCAATCTTCGACGGATTTGCACCAAAATTTACATGCACATGCTCCAAGTTAGCGGGAAGGCCAAGACCGACTTTGCATT